TATGCTTTATCCATTTCGATACGAAATAAACCAACGCTTTAGCCTCCAAGAGTGAGCAACAAGAAATGTTTAACCGTTCAATGTGATTAAAACATCACTCTCAAAAATCAACCAAAAATATGTGGGTTTTCTACCACGAACTACGAAGATCTGATTTTCCCATTTCATTTAGGAATACGTAGGCACAGGATTTTGAATTTTTGGCGAGTACAATAATAAAAAAACCTTAAAAATCTTTTCTTTCTTTTTCTAGCATATTAATTAGAAGATCGCAAGTAGACATAACACTAACACTGCAAAAATAAATAAATGGGTCTCGTTGAGTACACCAGATGTGAAGTGTGTTAATACCTTCCCCTTGAATAACTGACTCCTACACCCTAATTTGATTGCGGCGACCATTTTTTTTTCCGTAGGTTTTATCGATATTTTCCCTTTCCTTTTGGAATAAATATGTCAGTGGAGACTATTATATTTCGAGTGTTTCCTTACAGTTGTACCCCAAAATCTGTCCTCTCATTTCTCATGGCATTTCTCACAAGGATTTTCAAAATTCAAGCTTACACAGGTACAATTGGATTTTCCAGCATAAAGTTAAAGAGGAAACTGATAAAAAAAGGGCAAAACAGATAAAAATAATCTTTTTGACAAAATTGGAGAAAAAAATAAGTTTTCTTCGATTCCCCTTGCATCGATTGGGCAATGGTCCCTTTCATGCCTCCTTCGATCCATCCTTTGTGCCTCTTTCGATCCACAAAGCAATGACCTCTTATATGCAATCTTCGACTGCACAATTAGCCTCACATGGTTCACAATGCAATGGTGGCCTGCATGCCTGCTTCTATTGGAAATTTGATGTCTGTATTGATTGGACAAATAATTCTCTCCATGCTTGTGTTAGTTCACAAAGTAATGGCTGGCTGCATACAGCCTTCGATTTAGCAGTAGTTTCCTTCTTGCATGCTTCAAAGCAAGAGGCTCCCACCAGGCCATCAAGCACAAGGCAAAGAAACCCCTAGTGGCCTCTTTCGATTAAGAGGAAAAGCCTCCTATTAATGTCCTTCTATTTAGAAGACTAGTGCCTTCTTTATGCTTGCTCCCAATTCATAAGGCAAGGACCTTCTTCAGGCCAGTACGCACAAGACAATGGCCTCCTACAGCATCCTATCGATTCATAAGCCATTTTCCCCTTTGCATGCTTCCTTTGATTCACAAAAGCCAGGATTCCCTTCAGGCCAGTATGCACAAGGAAAAGGCTTCCCCATGGCTAGAATTCACAAGGCAATGGCTCCCACAAAGCATGGGCCATTTTCACGCTAGCTTCAAATGGGCAATATTTCCTTTGGAAACAGTCTGTTTCGATGACACATAATTCCTACACTATGGCATACAATGGGTGTCCCATTCAAAAGACATGTCTGGGTGTCCCATTCGAAATACATGTCTCAGTGTCCCATTCGAAAGAAATGTCTTGGTGGCCCATTCGAAGAATTGAAAATGGTGCACACAAATGATGCATATGGTCCAATCGAAGGACACATATTTGGCCCTTTCAAAGATATACATATGACCCATTCGAAAGACACTCGTTGGATGAAAATCAAATAATAATTCTTGAAGAAGGATTTGGTCGAAGGTGGTCAAAACGAAAGGTGGAGATATCAAAAGATGCTTGCTGAAAGTTCAGGCCTGATACACTGGCCATAACGATCCAAAACAGCTGCACAGCAGTCCTGAAACACTGCCCCTATTCTTGCACCAATCTGGCATACGAACACTGCCCTCGAAAGCTACAAAAAACATTTTACTCAAATTGTTTTGTTTTCCCTCCTAAACCTCAGCCAGCTTCGCCTATAAATAAGAGGCTCCATAACATGTCTAAAGGGTTGGGCAACACATCCAGAGGCTTTTGGTAGCTGAAAAAACTTTGATTGTATGAAAATCATCAAACACTTAACATATTATCACCCAGAGTCAAAAGATCATACCTTTGTTCCTTTCCATTTCGAATCCAGGAACAAACCCACACTTTGTTTTTCTTTCGAATCCAGTAGAAAGAACACCACACTTGTTCTTCTCCTTTGAATACAGGAATACCAATAACCACCCCACTCTTCCGGACCTTCGAATCCAACATTAGAAACGTCATCTTTGTTTCTTCCCTTTGAATATAGGAGTATCCAGGGTAGAAGCTAAAGGTCCATCTCACATACCCCATCTTCAAGAAAGGTAAGTCACTCTGACCTTAAGCTTTTTCGTTTCAAAACATGTACATAACATTTGTTTCCTTTTTTGTTTCAGTTTGTTTTCATTGCTAATCTTATGGTCTATTTCCTTTGTTTATCAAACATGTTTTAAGAAGGAACCTGGCCATGAAACAATACTAGCATTGCCTCAGGCCATGATGCTATTTAAATCCCAAACGAAAGAAAATAGGAGGAAGGAGGTGTGAATCGAAGCTTTAGGCTTCACCCTTGGCTGCTTCACAGTTGCAAGAAGAACAAAGATTGTGGATTTAGGCTTCGCTACACACTGACTGCCAAGCCTCAATCAAAATAAACAGCCAGAAGGATGTCCACATTTACTCCCAGGCCTCAATCAAAAGAAGGACAAAGAGCATGATTGAAGCTTAGTTTCTCACCCTAACATTCCTGCAATCTAAGGAAGCAGAAAGGAAGAATCGAAGGTTTCATCTCATACTTCATGCTAAGCCCAAATCGAAGGGAGCCAGAGAAGAAGAATTGAAGGGTTATGCTGCCAAAATCGAAGCACTCATCTTTCCTCCTTTTATTTTGTTTTGTATTTACATTTTCTTGATATTCAATATGGTTGTAACGGTGTAGGAATTATTTTATGCATTTTTATTGCTTTATACAAATGTTAGTAATTGGGATGTATGGCAAGATAAAACCAACAAGTAGACAACCCAAAAATAAAAGACAAAATGCATGCAATCAAACAAACTATTCACACATGCACCTCTAGGGTAATCTCGCTTGTTGCCTCGGAAAAATAGTCATGTCCCTCGAATATGGGTGTTTTAGCAAAGACCCTCGATAAAAGATCGTAGTCCCTCGATGACCCTCGATGTTGCCTTCGGTAAACGATCTAGTCCCTAAACGACATTGCTAAAATGTACCATAGGTTGCCTTCTATTACTATACAAACGACCCACACCCGTCCCTTCACATCCAACGATGGGACTTCTTACCAAATCAATGGTAAGATAGAAACATCAAACGTAGGAGGAAAAGAACGTTAGACCTTTTGAGTAGGTAGGACGCTCATAGTTGCTAGCTTGCTCACAACAAAAACATTTTTACACACCAACACTTTCCTTTGAAACATTTTCAAAAGACAAAGCTCTTTGTACACATTCTTATAGAAACGAGTATCATTACACATACACTTTTTCAAAATCACTTTCAAAAACACACTTCACAAATACCTCTTTGAACTATTTTCAAAACAACCACTTTGTACGCATTCTTATAGAAACGAGAATCATTACAAAGATGTTTTCAAAATACTTTCAAAAACCACATCACAAGCACATTCTCAAACAAAAGCAAGTGATTTAGCAAGCAACTAAGATCCCGTAGATAACTACGAATGAAAAGGGTGCTAATAACTTCCCTTTTCATAACCTACCCCTAGAACTCAAGAAATAATCTTAAAGGTCTTTCCTGTTCTTTTCCCTCTTTCCTTATTGGATAAAATAAAAGTTGGTGGCGACTCTTTCTATCCACAACAATTGCGATCAAACGCAAAACACCTAAGTCATTTCTCCCACTGTATTACAGAACTGGCGACTTAGCTGGAGACATTCTTAAAAGTGGGGTTACCTTAGGGATAGATCACCTTTACTTATTTTTCATTGTTTGACTTGCTTGCTTTACATTATGGTTCTTTATTTAGGATTGTTTTGATCCTCTACCCAAATCTGGGGAACCTTTTAGGTAAGTAGCAATAAATTATGGAAATTGTACCGCGTAGACCGATATGGTTGAAGCAATGGCTACGTTAGTGTGACGCATTTGTTGGTACCGGTATCCCTTGTGTTGAATCGAGGAGAATATGAGGCCGCTGAGCAGCGTTATGAAGCACTAACTGGCCTTATAACATTAATTGAACAACTTGGCCATTAGGAAGTAATGAGATAGCCGGTTTCGGCAAAAAGCTGAAAATTGGTTGATACTGGATACTACACTCATTGAGATCGGACTTTTGGGATATCTCGGCAGCAAGGAAAGATTGATTGTGCTGAGATAATGCCTAAAAGGAAGGTTAGTGATATTGAGATCCCCTATAACCCGGTTACTTTCTAGGACAGGTTGATCCAACTAAACTTTAAGAGGGTACTTACCTAAAAAATCCATACAAGCCTATACTTAAGGACTTGTCTGCTTTGTGTGTATATGATTATTTATACATAAAAACTTTCTTTCTTTGCATACTTGTACATAACATCATAAACATCATAACATCATAATCATTCTCACTAACCATTTCAAGGATTTAGGAATTTATCTTTGTTTTGTTTTGTAGGCAATGACTCCCATCCGAAGGAATACCATCCGAATCAGCTTCGTGAAAGCACACCCTCAAATCTAAGAATTAGCATCAAGGGTGCCTGGAGATTCTCCCTTCACCAAGAAATATGGTCGACATCTCGTCTTGGCTACCTACAATTTCAAAGAAGAAATGATGTGTGTGTTCTTCCAATCCTTTGATCCCATGCATCATTGCTTCACCTTTCCTGACTATCAGTTGGTGCCTACATTAAAAGAGTTCTCTCAACTGTTAGGAGTGCCCGTGTTTGATCAAATATCGTTCACCGGTTTAGAGGAGACTCCAAAGCCTGAAGTCATTGCCAAAGCCCTGCATCTGAAGAGAGCCG